CTCTTTTGCTTTGGCTTGTTGAGCAATTGTGCACATCCTTAATGACGTAATCCACATCACATGATGTAGTTTCGCTAAATATACAGAGAAAGGCTATATTTACTTACAAACTGAACAAAAACACAGCTTAAAAGCCAAAAAATAAATATTTTTTTATTTTCTAAGTATTTTTCCTTGTCCTTTTTCAAGTTATGTGTCATCCAGAGAAAGTTTTGACCAGAGCTCTGAAATTGGCCACTAACAAACTGAACTAGATGCACTAGTTCAGAATGTTCTTCATGAAAAAAAAATCCTTTTGAGTGTAAAATCCCCTTCAAATGTCTCTCACTTAAATAGAAAAAACATGCCTAAAGCTAAGCGCTGACAAGATCTTTACATTTGAGGCCAATCTCAAGTTAAACTTTACAGAACTTTATAGAGCTGCTACACTATATCTTCCATGGCTGCATTGCTTCAGCAAACTCACCCATAAAAAATTATATATACAAAAAACCTTTTTAAGATAGAGCAAAAATATTTTTAGGATGAGGCAAAAAATATATATATGTAAACATTTTCACCCCTAATTTGCTTCTTCCATCATGTCCCTTGGAGGCTCCATAATCCTGCTGGCCAATCATGGAATGACTTTAAGTGTTAAAAGCACAGTTTGATTTTATTTTGTTTCATTACAAAATGAAACAAAAGGGATGGAAAAGATCAATTTACCAATGTATTTAGTTTGAGGTAAAGTTCTGATGTACATCATTTTCATTCAGTGTTTGATGTTTTATCAGTCTTGATTTTCTTGGTTTTCAGAATCCAAGTCGCTCATAGGTTGCATGACTGTGATATTAACCACTGATGCTTTCTGCATAGCTTAGTTCTTTCACCTCTGGTTATTTCATCAACCCAAAACTCTAATGCTGTTAGTTTCTTTCTTTTTGTTTTCAAAAATCCACACGTTATAACTCAGTGTCCTTTTTTATTCTCACTTTGTAATCATTGTTTAAAATTTATAAATACACCTCTGAATGTTTTCTTCAAATATCAAACAAACAGATTATTGTGTTTGAAGCAGATCATGATGTCAGAAGTAAAGGTAGACAAGGTGCAGGTGACTGCTCATGAAGACGGGGCTACGTTTGCCGTTTGTCTGGATCAAGACAAAAAGACCTTCATCCAGAAAGTCAGAAGGTAACGCTGCTCTTCAAGAGAAAAAACAGAACATGCATTCTTTCCTCTCCAGTAAAGCAATCAAGAGATTTTAAATGTTTTAAATGTATTTCAAATATGTTTAATCTAAAACTCAGCATGATATGTAAGCTACAGAAACTGTTTCCTGTCTTTAGGTGTGAGGTGTCGCTGTGCAGCAAAGCAGGCAGCAGTTCAGACTGGAGGTCTTACAAAACGCTACCGGGCCAAATCCAACCCCTGAACCCGACCTTCTGCTCCCTGCTCTGCCTTCCCATCACCTCCTTTTCTGCCTCGGCTCAGTGACCCGCCGAACAAAGCACTATCTGAGGATCCGGGATGAGTCAGAGGGGGGAGCAGGAAAATTTAAATTTAGCACCAGAGTGAACATTTCATTTCAAAAAGCAGATTTGTCTAAGTTTGACTTTTAGAAATACTCTAGTTCTTAGTATTTTCCACTATCTCAGGGTAATAACCTCAAAAACCAGTTTCTGGTGTCTGCTCGTATCTTTTTATGCTCAAACTGGTGACGATACGCATGCCTTGTTCATGTTTACATTTTCTAGTAACTATGATTGACTCAAAAAGTGAGATGAAGAGGACAACAAGGACCTGATTTGTTGTTGTTTTTTTCTTTTTGGGCATAGGCGGGGCTCTCGCTTTGCCTCAACTGATTCATAATCAGCACTTATCATGTGGATGATTGCCTTAAAAATGTTGGATTTTTGATGATTTGCTGTAAAAAGACAACATATAATTTCAATTATGTTTTGAAGGTCTAATAATATTTTTCTTAAGCCTTCTGAAGTCATTCTAGGGCATATATATGACAATATATTGCCTTGGCACTATGGAGTATTTTTTTTATTCAATTTCAGTTGCTTCCTGGTACTAGATTTTCAACTATGAAGAAAATATGCTTTCTCTACAATGTTTACTCTCCCTATGTGGGTGTTGCCCAATCACAATGCTGCTCTAGAGCAGGGCTCTGCAACCTGCAGCTCCAGAGTCACAAATGGCTCTGTGGACCCTCTGTAATGGCTCCTAAAATGATAAACAACCAACTAAGGGCTTTAAATATAGCAAACAAATTAGACTCTTTTTTAGAATTTAAATTTCCCAGAACATAATTTGAAAGAACCAACAATATTTTATGTTGTTTTTGGATCTTTATTTATGATTGCTTGAAAACCTTTTTTATTTCAACATAATTTTCCACAAATATCAAAAGAAAATCCATGCATTTAATGTTTTTACTCATTTCAAAGCCAGAAAAAATACAAATAAATGGCAACAGATTTATTATAGCAGATATTTAATTAAATTAAGAAGTCGCATTTTCTAAAATGTGTCAAATTTGTAGCTCTAAACCACTTAAACCTGACTGGATTCAGGGTGAAATGGCTTTTTGGTTTTCAAAGGTTGCAGACCCCTGCCTACCCTACAGGCACTGCAGGTGTTTTTATCAATCTACTTCTTGAGATAAGACTTTTCTTTTAAGAAGACTAAAATAATATAAGACCTCTCAAAGCTGTAAAACACACTTTTGCAACTTAAACAATTCACTGTACAGATTAGGTGCTAAAAGAGCGTCTTTGTCTCAGCTTTGAGCAGAATCGATTGTGTTCCGACTCAAGCCATGATCGGAGAAAGCCGGCATGTTGTTTACTGATAAGGTCAGAGCGATCAATGTAGATGTTTCCTGGAGGGGCCAGGTAAAAACAGCTCTACAAAGATATGTCTTAGCCACTCGTTTTCTAACAAAAGGGAGGGAGCGGGGTCTCCTGGTCAGACAGAATTATTTATGGGGAAAACTTAGAGATACATAAGTGGGGAGTGATGGCCTAGTGGTTAGGGCATAGAGCTTGGAATCCTGAGGTTTTTGAGCCCCATTCCCACAGACTGCCACTCTGGCTCTCTAAGCAAGACCCTTAACCCCACACTGTGTCATATGTATGTGAGACATATGTCATATGAGACAGATTATTTGTGTTTGGCCAAGCTGAAGATTAGCTCTGTGCTACATCTTTGCCTCTGTCTGTCTATCTAAAGCCTATCTTTGATGTTCAAGCTGTGCTTGTTCAAAGTTTCAGACGGTCTATGGTTTTTCTCAAAACTCTCTGCTGTAGTTTTAATCTTTCTATTTTGTGCACCATATCATCACCGCTGGAAGCAAGAGAGTCCCACACCATGGTGCCACCTCCATGCTTATCTATTCAAACTGTTTCTTCAGGTTCGAAAGCTTCATTCTGAGCCCTGCAAACATACTTCCTGTAATTTTTGCTTTAAAAAAAAGCACTTTTTTTTTCTTTTTTGCCCAGCTGTACAGTTTAGAAGAAAAATACTGAACACATGCACACTGACTTCTGAGTTTATATCCTATCTCTGATATTTTTGACATTTCACAAATAAATCTAATTTTCACTATTCTTAAAGACCTCAAACTTGAAAAGTTCAAATGATTTGATGTTAAGCTAAGTGCCTTTTGATGATCTTTTTAAATATCTGTTGTGAGCAAAGTGATGGAAGTTTATTTGTTGTAGGCTACTTTTTGCGTGAAAAAAATAATTCCCTATAATTAAGGTTATGCAAGTATTTTAAGTTAAAAACATTTCTCGTTTTTAGCGATGACTGCAGCTGATTGTTGTTTAATCAGTTCACTCTGAAGAATAAAAAGTTCACATAAATCATCAGCCTCAATATTATTATGCTATTAATGGACATAAAAATTATTAGAAATGTCTCCCTCTGCTGTTTGTCACTATTTTCTCAGTACTGACAACCTGAGTAATACAATTTTCTTTTTTGTTTTTTTTGTTTTTTTCAATAAAGTTGTTCCCCAAAATGTGTACATAATAAAGCGAGGTATTTATTTGTTTTTGAAACTAATCACATAATGCGATCACAAAATCTGTATTTTCTTAATTCTGATTTGATTTTCAAATCAAATAAAATCGTAACCATCGGTTTTGTCTTTTTTATATCCACAGACGGTTCATTATATTATATACACAATTGCTTTTTGGGGGGGGGGTGCTCATAAATATAAAATGTAATAAAGAGAAGCAAAAGTTGCTGAAATAATGTCTAAAATTAATAAAATATCAATAAAAACATAATTTGGAATAATTTGAAAAGTAACATATCTGAGTAGCAAAGTTATTCTCAAAAAATTTATTTTTTAAGACGTTTTTTAAAGTGTAATTTCTGGATTGCGTTTTTTCACATTTTAATTAACAAAACCTGTTCTTTGCTTGCAATAACAATTAAACATTTCCTCTTAACAGTTGTGCAAATTGAATTTGCATTTCAACATAGCTTTACCATTGGACTTAGCTCAAGTCCTCCTTTAAGGGTAATTCTATGAAGTACACAAAAACCTGGTATGCAGGAAATTAACGTTTAAATAAAGATGATTAAGTTTGATTAAAACCAAAAAGTGAATTTGACATTGATTAATGTTCCTGTCTATTTCATAAAAATCCCCAAATATAATGAGGTTTGTACTGTAACAAAAAGAAAAAGCTGCTAAACCAGATAGTTTATAAAAATGAATCATCATAGGTTTTCAATGTCAGTCTTTAATAAGGATGTAACCAAACGAATCTGTTTAATGTTCCTGCTGATGGCAGATATGTTTACTAAACCCTAAATTTGCTATTTGTACAATAAACTATCAATACAATTTAAAATGATGCAAACTAAAGCCAGTGTAACTACTATCGTACTATTTTTTATAGTTGTAAATAAATCTTATTTAAATAATTCTTATTACCAATAATCCGTGCTTACAGTGTTGTTTAGCATTTATATAAGTATTTTTACATCTAGTGTTTAGTTAGAGCGGACATTTAGAATAACATCTGTAACTGCAGATATTTGTTTTCACACCAACCCTACTCTGACGCACTTAAGCATCCTGACCACTGGGGGGCGCTGCAGGAGAGGACATTTCTCCCCAGGTGTTTACCTATAGGAGCGCTGCAGTGAATGCATGACTGAGTTGGTTCATGATCCGCCCCCTGCAGCAGCAGGTGATTGTTGAACTAAAACGCGAAACAGACTGAGAATAAAACAACCTCCGGATGTCATGTTTTTTTTAAATCAAAAATGGAAAAATGTAGATGAGCTTGAAGAAGAAAGAGCTGGGTAAGAGTCACATTTAAAACTTCGAGTCACTTTTTCTCTGCTTATCTTGCGGTTTGGTGTGACGTGGACAAGAGTTTTAGACCTTGACATCCTGCTGGGACAGGTGGATCCTGCCTCATAGGTGTTTCTGTTTCCGTCATCCTCCTTCTTTCTACTTTACTAACGTTTTTCCACCTCCAGATGCGTTATTTAAACATTTAAAATGGAAGAGGAAAAGTTATTCTACACTGTAATACAGGACATAAACAGTAGCATTTAATACACTGCGTCTTTAAGAATAATCAGTCTTTTATCTATGGTAATGGATTAATATAAAACCGGTTCTACAAGATAGTATTTTTATTATTATTATACGATATTATAAAAGAATGGAAAGAATACATGCCATGTGTGAATTTTCAACCTCTTTCATTTTACTTTCATTTTATAGACATTTTGCAAACATTTCCATAATATTTTATTAGAATCCCATATGTTTAAACACAAATCAATGTGAAGGAAAAATGGAAAAATGCAGTTTTCTCTAGTTGCTCTGCAAGAAGCATAAATGAATAACATGTCTTGTTTTGTGTCTCTGCCGGCTTTGCACATGGAGATAAAAAAAAAATGTTGAACTTTTTTATTAATATTATTATTACTAGAATCTAGCTCTGGACTTTAACTAGGCCAGTCCAAAATACGGATCTGAAAACTTTTCATCATGGCCCTGGCTTTAGGTGTAGTCTCACTGTGGTGCTGGAATCTTTTTGCAGCAGGTTTTTACTTCCATGCTTCTGAGTCTGCAGTGTCCTCTGGTGGTTTCCCTTCAGAAAAAAAACATTTTGAAAATGCAGCAAAATGGTCAAATTTGTTTTCATCCCCTTGATTGTCCTGTAAATGACAAGTGGGAAACTTTAAACTCAGCCTCTTTGGTCTTATTCTTGTTGCTCTTTCGTAAAAGCAGATGCAAGGCTATTTTATGATGAGGTACCATGGACCGCTTTCTCTTTCTCCAATACTCTGACCTGTCAGTCTAAGTGAAAGGCCACATCTTGGCGATTTGAATGTGTGCCATTCTTTTTTGAATGATAAATTGAAAATAACTGAGAAATATTCAAAACTAGAGATACTTTCTTTATATAATCCATCCACTTTGTAAAACATATCATGCCTCAAACTAAACAACTTCCACCCTGTCCTGACTGTAGTTTGTCTTGGTCTTTTGTAAAAAAAAAAAAAAAAAAAAAAATACTGTCAGCCATTCATTTAGCAAGTTGTCCTGCTTAGAAAGATGAGAGAGGTTTGTAATTTCCATCATAGGTACATTTTAACCATGAGGGACAAAATAAGAAAACAAATCCACTAAATCACAATGCAGAATTTACCATTTATTTGTCAATTATAGTGGAAAATAAGTATTTTATCATCCTCAAACAAGCTATACGTCTGGCCCTCACAGACATGTAATCTCTTCTTTAATTTAAAATAAGTTAAATAGTTTCAAAATAGTTTAAAAAACAAACTGCTGGACTTTGGTTTTTAAGTTTGAAGACATTTTGCTTTCCATCCAGGAAGCTTTCTCAGTTGAAAATGTCTGGAGTAGCGTTTCACTTCCAGGCTTATAGTCCAGTGGCCCAAACAAAAGCCTTGTTATGGCTTGGAAGAAATGCTAATCGAAACAAAAAAAAAAAAACACACACACAACATTGAAACAAAAAAGCTTTATTCTTTAAGGTGCTCTCCGTTATTCCACACATTACCTGTTTTAACTGAGAGTCAGTCGCCTGTCGACACCCTTAAAAAGTCAGAATCCAGGCTCAACCATGGTCAAGACCAAAAAGCTGTTGAAGGACACTGGGAAGAAAGAATAGAGTGAATCTGCAATAGGTGAGCAGGTTGGTGTGATGAATGACCTGCAGAGAGCTGGGACCAAAGGGTTAAAGGCAACCATCAGTAACACAATATAACCGGAGGGACTAGATCCTGCAGCTCCAGGTGTGTCTCCCTGCTGAAGGCTCTGCAGCTCCAGGTCTGTCTGAAGTTTGCCATGGATGTTTCAGAAAAGGATTAAGAGAATATCATGTGGTCAGATGAAAGAAAAAAAATATCATTTGACACAAACTCAACTTGTGTTTGGAGGAAGAAGAACACTGAGTTACATCCCAAGAACATCATACCTACAGTGAAACATAGAAATAAAAACATCATGCATTTGGGCTGTTTCTTCTGCAGGATGACTGATTTATATTAAGGAAATAATGAACGAGGTCATAAATGGGGAGATTTTAAGCCAAAACCTTCTTCCACCAGTAAAGATGGAGCATGGTTGGCTCTTTAAGAAGGTCAATGATCCCAAACACACCAATCAGACAATGCATCTGTGGCTCCATACAAAGACCTCAACCCCATAGAAAATATGTAGGGTAAGTCGAAAGTGCCTGTTGCCCAGCAACAGACCCAAAACATCACTGCTCTAACAGAGAAGTGATGGAGGATGGGTTAAAATACCAGCTGCAGTTTGAGCAAACCTGGAGAAAACTGGCTTGAAACGTTTGACCTCTATCATTTAAACAAAGACTATGCTACAAAGTAACAATTAAACTTTTGTTGCTGACCAATTATTTTGCTTTCTATAAATTCTATGAATTCTATAAAAATCCAATCCAATTTTTTGGATTTCTTTTTTTTTGTGTGTTACTGATGGTTTCATAGTTGTAGTATTATATGATGATGATCATCTTTTTAAGTAGATGAACCAGTCAGTGGCTGAGTAAATACTTTTTCTGCTGCACTGTAAATTAAACTGATAATGACTGACTTGTGAAAGCAATGGGTTTAATTTAATGAAATTGTTTTCATCTATCATTGCATATAAGATGAGGATTTTCTTGTCTGAATAATTTCTCTACAGAACTCAAAAGGCACATTTGGCTAAACTTGCTTTAATCCTGTAAAAGATCTTATTTAAATCACCTTTTGCCATCCAATTATATCGAATAATAATAAAAAAAAAAAGATTAATCGATTAGAAAATGAATCCTTAGTTGTAAATTGAAACCCAGTGGATGAGAAAATGCTTCTATCACTTAATAATTCCCAGGTTGTGTCTCCTTTTCTGAATCCCACCAGTTGCTCCATGTGACGCCTTCTCAGAGAGCCACCTCGCTACTGGAGAACAACCATGAGGAGGACCAGACAGATCGACGTCAGGCGCGCCCTCGCTCTGACGGGCACCTTCAGCTTCCTCTGCTCCTGTTCCAAAGCCTGTCTGCTCCCCTTCCTCACCCTCTACTTCCGCCACCTGGGTCTGTCCCAGTCCATGGTCGGCATCATCATGGGCACCAAGCACTCCATAACCCTGGTGTGGAGCCCGCTGGCTGGCCTCCTCTCCAAACGCTACAACAAAAGGCGGTTGGTGATAAACTGCTCGCTTTTGTTTTCCGCTTTGGCCGCTCTGGTCCTGCTGCTCCTCCCTCCTGTAGAGACGCCCGGTGCTCAGAGCAGAAGCTGTAATACCTCCAATCTGAGCTCTGGTTCGGCCCAAAGTTGGTTTGATCTGGCAGCTACCACTAGCAGTCAGACATTACCAACTAGAACACATACAACCTTAGTCGTATCGAGCTCGCCTACCAACTCTGTCAGTGATTCGGTACCAACTCCTACATCAACTCCGCCTAATAGAAATGATGCAGAACCCTCAGAAACTGCTCTCTCTCCTGGAAACGCATCAGA